TTCTGTTAGTAAAAATGTACTTTAAAATTTGTAGAAAAAATGGACGAAAAATTTTTCGCCGTCGCGCGAATCGTACCCATCTTCCGGATTGTCGCCCAGCTTTAATCATTAACGGTCGGTTTCGATATTATATCTACAGAGTAGCGGACCCAAGAAGAAACATTTCGTAAAATCCGTTCTTAGCTGACCTCTACTTGGCGAAAGGAATATTCCTACCAAATTTCAAGTCTCTACGCCTTATGGTTCCAGAGATATCGTGATGAGTCAATTATCGGTGAAAATTTCTTATATATATTTATTAGTAGTTCTTATATATATTAAGATTGTTACAGGTACAGCGATAGGTATTTGACATTAGCTCCATAATACTTACGTCGAAATTCTGTCTTCAGTAACCAAAACTATCTGTAGATAGAATATTGAAATCGGGCCGTAAGCTGACATTACCACACTGACTACCCATTTTATCTATATTGTTTCTTTCGCATTTCATCTTAAGTGCGTAGATTAACACTATGAACACTTTATAAAATTTGAAAAATGTAGTGCTTGTTCATTATTGGGCGTCATCGTTTATGAATGTACGCCTTAAGCGTTGACGTTAGCGATTAGTGAGCTAGAATAAATTGATTTGCAAGTGACGAAAGGGAGCTCATTTCATGAATCACGACGCATCGGCCGGTGTGCATCGGTAAATAGTACATTCGCCGAGCGGCTCACGGCGCCGGACCGCGGCGCAGCGCCATTGTTCAAACACAACAACGCTAAACTGGCTAAACTGTTCATTCGTATTCCAACTGCGGGCCAACGCTTGTTTGCGGGTGCCGCAAAGCTGCGAATTCGATTGGATGCGGCAAACATCTTTCTTTAGAGAACCAGCATATATAAAGCTTATTATAATATAATGCTTAGCTATTATACCTTTAAAATTTGCTAATCTATATATATATATTTATATATCGAGACGAGGCAGCAAAGAAGGGATTTTAAGAAATTCCACAAAACAACGTTTGCCGGATCTGCTAGTTCAATATAAACTTTTCTGCCTGGGCTTTCAATATACTTCTTTTTAAATTTTCAATAATTTCTATATTTCTTTAATGATAATCAGGCTTTTTCTGATCATCTCGTTGTTTATGATCAAGTATTTGATTTAACTCATCAAGATCTCCATTCTTATGGTGCAGAGAATATTTTATTTTCACTAATTTAAAAAACAAATCGTTCGAGATGTACCCTAAATATTTTTCGAAAGCAGGCCAGCACTAGTCAGATTTTAATTTAAAAAAAAATTACTTACTATCCAATATTTTAACCTGCGTAAAATGTAAAGTCAATGCTTCCATTTAATAAAATAATCTCAAAGTTAAAGTCGCAGTCAAAGGCGCAGATATTGATTTCGCGGTAGCATCGCGCGTATTGCGTAATAGTTTACAAAGCATATATACGAACTTGTACATCCTCTCCTAGAGATTTAGCAAAGCCGGACGAAGCAAGACTTAGTTCATTAGGCTGAAAACAAATACTATAATATAAACTTGTTGGATGATACAAATACAAAGGTGGAGTTGATATTAAGCGCCGATTGCCGCATCCATGGCACTGCACACTATAGTCTGGAGAGTTGGACGAGTCTGCGCGTATTGTTTTATACAAATGGAACGCGGAAATTTCTTTGCGGTTTTTCATTGAGATGTTGTCGCGTGGCCACTTCTTTCAGTACCCATTAAATTAATTCACGCTTGTTGTAAATGGTCAAAATTAAAATAAACAAGAAATCGACGACTAAAAAAGGTTGTTCTATTCACTTATAACAGTTACAAACAAGAGATTAAAATTGAAAATAAAAAGAAGAATATTAAACGTTGTGTAGTACCTATGTACATAAAGTTAAATGCGCTAAGTCGCACGCGACAGCCATAACAATCGGTTTATTTGCCACATGGCTCAATAAAGCACCCAGATAATCGCGAGCGGACAAACAGCGATACAGAGTATAGTGACACCATCGCCCACCGAATACGGCACGCCGCTCCATAACCGGAAAGGAAGCGGGCAATGGACTGCGCACCCCAAAAGGCGACCAATTCTCTATTGTCTTGTGCAGCAGCGCCCTGCCAAGTGGCGCGCTCAACATCTTATCATATTATCATACATTGCCGAACACGATAGGCCAGATAGGCGGATGTCGCCAGTGGACGGAGTAGACAAGGATATCTGCATCACTCCTTGCGAGAGGAGGGTGCAATAAACGAACGCTTCGTCACCCCTGAGATGTATTCTAAGTTATTTAATTAAAAGCAATACTAAAGTTTGAAGATCTGTAATCGGTGCAGACATTAAGTAAAGCAAGAGCCTATACATGTTCTCCTACTGGGCAAAAGCCTCATCTGTAGCATTAGGGCAAAGTCCATCCTGCGACCTCATCTCGATTGGTAGACTTCAAACATCTTCATATTACTTTTCTATATTATTGTTATTTGGAAAATGTGTAAGTTTCCTCACGATGTTTTCCTTCACAGATTAGCAAATAATAAATCAGCTTTTAAAATTGCAATTTCATTGGTACCAGTAAAAGGCACCGGCATTTAAACTGATTTTAACTTGAATGAATTGGAAGATTAAAAAACAGAAAATTCGGTGGCGCACAATACCACCAAAAAAAAGAAAGATTTAACCATAAAATATTTAAAATTATAATAATGCACGATTGATTTTTTTAAGAACATTCGTATAGCGTTGAGGTTGTTGGCTGCCCATAACTTGTTAAACCGTCCAAAAGCCACACAAGTGCTGATGTGACCGCTGGCCACACGAACACCAAGTGCGATGGTGCACCGCATCTCCTGAGCAAACCCATATAAATGTAACCAATCTTGAAAATATGCGTTGCCGAGGTTAATATGCTTAACTTTTTTCCAATAATTATGGTGGGCATCGTTGTAACAAGATTATTTCATGTTGAAGAAACGTTTTGCAGATGCAAATTGCACAATGACAAATGCCCGGAACCGTTACTATTACATATCAGACAAATTATATTTCCTCATCAATGATAAATGACAGTCTCTCACGTTCCTTCTGGCTAATAAGTCCAGACCGTATGAAAGTCCGAAGACGATAATCTCTTTGGTGCATTCCACTTCCAATAGAATTAGAAGCTCCCCGCTTCATGACACACACGAGTCCACAACTCTAGCCAATATGACATTGAGGAAATTTGCGTTTAGCATCGTTTGGTGAAAATATTGTAGAATCATCTTTATTATGAATATCACGACTATATTTCTTATAGTCTTCTAATGTCGTTAATTTGATTGCATTGGCACAAATTGCTTATAATAACTTTTAAACGGCTCCGAAAATTTATTTCCTTCATCTTCATTCAATAACACTGTGTCCTGATGGATTTCACTAGTATAAAATCATGCATACGAAAATTATTGAGACTTTTAACAATTATTTGTGGAGCATACAAATTTTTGACTAGTTCGAGGAGGGAACCACCTTATCTCATCCGTATAAATGTTATTAGTGCTAATTAAATTGTTAACACATTTTTAATTTTAATTGATACGGTATTTCAATACAAATAATATCCCAATTATTTATATCATTCGAAGTAGGCATATCCAGTCATTAGTGACAAGTATATTAAATATGTTTTTCTAAATACTTTTTCTAAAGTTATACAAATACAATTATAGTTAAAATATTTGCTTATCACTACATAGTATAAAACAAAGTCGTCCCGCTGTCTTTCTGTCCATATGTATGCTTTGATCTTTAAAACGACACAACGGATCTTGATGCGGTTTTTTTTACTAGGTAGAGTGATTCAGGAGGAAGGCTTATATGTATAATACATTGCACCTGTGCGAAGCCAGGGCGGGTCGCTAGTTTTGCATAATATGAAGTAGCAGTTTGCCGGTTATTAACATGACCGTGTGGCCTAATGGATAAGGCGTCGGACTTCGGATCCGAAGATTGCAGGTTCGAGTCCTGTCACGGTCGTATAGCTAACTTTTTTTGAAAACATTTTATCTTTTGCAATTATTTATGACTTATAAGTATACGAATACGCTTTAAGCGTAATATGAACTGACTACGGATTTGTTGTCCTATATTTATATTTCATTTGTGAATACCTGTTATTAATTGCTGTTGGTTTTCCTGTCAAATAAATAAATATTTTGAACTAAATACAAATTGTTAATGCGGCTTGATGGTAAATTTACCATTACTGAGCAACATTTTCATGCATAAATGTTACCGGCAACAAATCAAGTTTTTTTTCAATTTTGTTAATCCTTTTTTTTGGCTTCGCGGGAGAATATGGCAAGAGACAAAGCCACGCTTCATCTAAGACACGCTTTTAAAAAACAGCACCGGGTACTTAACTGACTAGACGAAACGCTTACATTTAATGCTTCCAGTTCACGCCAGTCTTTAGTTACATCTTGGTACCTCGGACGAGGCTGTCTATTCGTTCAACCTCAGAAGCTACTGTTCGAACAAATCTTAGTGTGCTTTAAGCTTAACTGGTCTACTTGTATGACACCATAACATTGAAAGATTATTGTTTTTAGTTTTTGTTCGCATATCATGCGCCACACGGTACATAATATATACAAGGCATACTCTAGTCAGCGTTTTGTCCTCTTAGGTTTTTTTTTATGGAGACGGCAAGTGATCACCGCCGCCCATGGACACCTGCAACACCCGAGGGCCGATATTACTTCATGTTACAGATTTCCATCTGTCTATAAGCGTCCATTTTCAGGTCGCCGCACCTAGTGACAAGCGAATAGGAAACCCAAAACATCGTTAATTATCGCTCCAATTGTGGCGCGATAACAAAGACAGCGGGACGAAAATACCACCGACCCAAAGTGATAAAACGGTGTTGGTAGGTGCCTGCATCCTTGTCGCCGCTGTGTCATTACCCGATCACGGACCTGCTGATTACAGTGATGTGTTTCCAAGTGTCCGATTCAAACATGTCACGCCGTCTCGTGGAGAATGGAGCTATATTATTTGTCAAGAAGGTTATTGGGAATGTGAACTCATTAGCGAAAATGCAACAGCTGAACACTTGGTGGAGCTAAGACTATCACTACAGAAAATAAATACGAAAAGCTTACACAAAACGTCAGTTTATTACTAGTACCTGGAGGACCGAGCTTTGATCGGTTTTTTTTGGTAAATTATGTATTTTGGAACTAAAAAAAATAAAAAATAAAGAAAAAAAAGTAAAAAAAATAAGTGTGTGAATGATCGTGATACGAACCACGGCCGTCTGTTTTGGGGCCGCCCGATTACCGACCGAGCTATTATGACATTTTATTTTGCGGCGAAATTTACTGTCATATTCCAATGATATTTTTCATTCCCTGAAAACAGGGGTAAAAGGAAATTTTCTAAAAATAAAACCTAGCTAGATCGATATTTCGCCCCCGAATCTACGCACATACTAAATTTCATGAAGATCGCTGGAGCCGATTCCGAGATTCCGATTATATATATACAAGAATTGCTCGTTTAAAGGATAAGATTTGTCGGGAATACGTATGTAGTAGGCATAATGTAGTTTATGGTAAGTAGCAAGGATTCTTTGAATTTCGCAAGGTCTTTTGTGAGTAATTTATTGAATATATTTTGATTCATTCTAGACTACCTGTATTAAATTAACTGATTGTTCTTAACGGTGTAGTTGTAGGCAAATATTGGCAAAACTATCGAGAGGGCGCGTAGCAAGTATTGCGCTACGAGGCATTATGTTCGTAAAAAAGAAATAAAACAACATAGTGGCGTTCATTCGATCGCAAAGCATATTATTAAACAAGTGTATTTAAGGAAATAGATTATCTGTTCAAAACACATATGTACAACCAAATAATTATTATGTGCCGTAGATTTAAATTATACAAAAAACGAAAACAGCTAAAATAAAAAAGTATTATTGATCGATTTTAATATATTTTTTTTATTTTGCTGGATTTTTTGCTACTTAGGACACAGGATAGGCTTTATGTCAGTTTATAAAAACATTTCCTTTCTGCAATTTGCAATTATTGTTGTCGTAAAACAATTGTTTGTTGAGTTCTACGATTTAATGCCGTTGTAAGTTGGTGTATTGACTGCAAGTCAGCTAAGTTACACGAACATCAAATTAATGGCGCCCTACTTTAATTCTAAACGTTTCCTTGATGATACGATTTATTACATGTCACACGTGTTTTACAGATGCAGACGCCATGACGATTTTAATAATGTTATTTTGAAGCAATTCATTTGTTGAATACCATTAATATGATATAACTATGTTCTATAGTTTATTTACTTTAATAAATGATATACATTTCCTTTTTTTTAAATAATAATTTCTAAATGTTTCGTGATTATTTACCTTATAAATCAACCTCCTTCCTTTTTCATCTTGAAATATTTAAAAAAAACAACATTAAGTCAAAATCCGAAAGTTCAACACAAAACATTTCAACAAAATTCACAATAAAAATTTTATAAGTTGCCCATTTAAATCTTTGTCCAAGCTGAAAATTGTTATGTTTCAATTTGGACCAAATCGCATGCTGCCATGGACGTTCTCCAAGCGTTCGTGATAATTGTGACTTTGCTTACTTTTTTGGTACGCTGGCACTACGTTATGGCGAGTGTAAGTAGCCTACGATTTCATTAATTTAAGGCTGTGTTGTATCTAAGTCTTCAAAATATACGTTTGGGAGAAACAAGGTAATACGAGCCTTGTGCCTTCTAAAACCCCTTCTGTGGAGCACAGTATCCCTCTGCACCGAGTCTAAGTTGATCCAGTGAGGTAAAGGGCAAAGTCTTCTTCACTTTCCTAAGACATTGAGCTTTACGGCAATCTGCATCGTAAGTCATCTGCAGATGCCTAGTGTCGTGGCACTTTGACATATTTTCGTTATAATAGTGTTGTTCTAGCTTGCTATTTTATTTTACTACAATGCATCAAATAAACATTTTTTCTTTCTTTTTTTTAACTAACTTTTGGTAAGAAAGACATAAGTTTAACGAAGGGTAATAAAATTGACCTCTACAACGTATCCAAAAACATGATTTATAATTTTCAGAAATATGAGCACCTACCTACTTGTTTCATCATTCATTTAATTTAAGCTTTAGTGACGACGGTGCCATTTAATATAGCTTAAATTTTTAAATCGCAAGTGAAGAGGAAGTGGGCCATCTTTGTGGGATCATCATTAGTTTATAGCTTATTACTAAGATGACCTCAGGAGAGCCCGAAAACGCACAAGGTCAACACTACCTCATTGTACTGGAAATCCCAGGATTGACGGCATTTAGCTTACACTCTAAACACAGAATAGGCACAAAGATGAACACGCTTAATTACATTAGCTAGGAGCTTACGGAATGGATTGCTTTCTAATGTGCTCGTAACTATAACTCATCAAAATGTTCTCCAAGACTGAAGGCGAAAACATCAAAGTCATTATATTTTTAATCAATATAAGTCCCGCTTATAAGTATATTTTCTCCTCATCCAATTGTGTAAGAGAAGAAAAATTCTTTTCGCAGATAAAAGCGCACAGAATTGAGGTGAATTTACTCCAACTCTACGAAGACGTACGTTCCAGAAGGTCACCGTTCGTCATGAACGGCGATGGTGACGGTGCTGTAGAGTACACCACCAAACTGAGCCCTCACCCGAGGTACAAGCGGGACCCCAACATATTTGTCGACAACGAGGAGATTGGCCAGCAGCCCCGTGTCGTTGCCATCTAAGAAGATATAAGCATAGCGCGATATCATATGCAGTAACAACGTAACAAAATATAATAAATGATTTAAATAAATTTGTTGTTTGTTGAAATCCGGGCTATTATAATAAATGTTTTATAGATAAAGACAATGATATTATATACAAATACGAGGAAGATATCGACACTAGCGTACCGAAACTGACGCGCTCAAATGACGCCAATTGGTGTAAATATTGCAGTTCTGTAGACTAGAGATAAACTATTGAGTTTCTTGCTTCGGTCTCTTCTCAACAGTAACTGCTTTTCGAACCAGTGGTAACTTACGAACCTATGTATCTATTTTTATGTAAAATCGACGTTTCATAAGAACGCGCAAGCGTCTGTTTTAATAAAGATATTTTGAATATTATCTCTTTCCGTATCATACGTTCTATATGTCATCTGTCATATTAATTTATACAAGTCATATAATGTAAAGCGAAACAATTTCGAAACGCCGCGCAGTGTGGACATGAGTCTTCTTTAGTAAAACATCATTGGATAGAGAATCAAATCAAAGTTTTTCTAGTAATAACTCTTGATTCAAAGCTTCAATGGGGCCCCCATATATCCAAACTTGCTGTAAGGAAAATAAGATGTCTGACTGATGTAAATACAGCTAGAATCTTTTATTTTAGTTATTTCCATAGCATAATTTCGTACGGTATTTTGCTATGGGGGCATGCAGCCGATGTTAAAACAATATTTATTTCGCAAAAAAGGGCCATAAGAGCAATTTACAATCTTAATTTGAATGCATCTCTGAGAGAGAAATTTAAAGAAATAAATATTTTAACCTTGGCCTCTCACAACGTAATCGAAAATGTAATGTATGTACATAAAAATAAAACAAGAATAATTTTAATAAAAATACTGATGTACATAATGTAAACACTAGGAACAAACACAAGCTTGTAACGCCAGTTACTAGACCATCGAGTCAGTAACTCGTTCATAGGACGGTGTATACGCTTCTACAACAAAATCGCAGTTAATGTGCAAAGCCTATCTTAACAGGTTTAAGAAATTTATTAAAGAAAACCTTTTTAAAAAGGGTTATTATAATATAAATGAATACATTAACAATAATAACCCCTAGGAATGAGATGATCACTCCTAAGCTGTTTAAAAAAATGTTTTTGTTAAAAAAAATGTATGTAAAACAATGTATTTGTTGAGAAAAAAAATGATACCTACGGAGTTTCTTTCGCCTGTTTCTTCTCCGTTAGAGGAACCTCATTACGAAACGGTGGTAGATTTAAAAAAAAATGACTATCGATAAATGAAATGTATATTTCTTATTTCGATGAATAAATGATTTGAATTTGAATCTGTTTTTGCCACCTAGCATTTACTCCTACTCCATGAATAGAATACGTCAATTACCATGGCTTCCACCGTGTCAGCGAATCTGATCCATACTCATAAAGGTAGGCAGCACACGTGGAATTTCTCCAGCTGAATTAATAACATATAAATAAATAAACTGTTCTGAGTATTGCCTAGGAGTTTATATGTAAAGAAAAAAGTAAGATACATCCATGTACAGCCTGTATATGTCCCGCTACTGAACAAAGGCCTCATTTGTACAGACGGTATTAGGCATTATCCGCCACGCGATCTTACTGCGGATTAACATAATTATCTTCGAAATATTTTTTTTGTTATTATTTCGAAAATATGCAGGTTTCCTCAAGATGTTTTTCCTTCACCGCTGAGCATGTGATAACTCAATACTTAAATTTAGTTTCAAAAGATAGAAGAATCTCTTAATTGATGAAGAAATGAATTTAAAATCTGACGACTGTTATTATACCCCGAACATACTACAACAATCGACTAATAAAATAAAGATTCTAAATACAAGCAATCTTTTTACTTATCTACAAATGATACGAGTAATTCATAGAACGAGTAGGTATTAATAATATGCTGCCAAGAAGAAAGTGCAAATAAATGTAAATAGGGCATCCTGAAAATTTTAACTACTTAGTTACCGAACAGTTTTACAAATAGCTTTTTCGAGCTAAAGTTTTACAGGCGCATAAAACAAAAACTTTCTTACTTATTTTTTTATTAAAACATTATTGATATTTCAATAAAATCAATTAGGTACAAGTTCGCGATGGCGAATTATATTGCCGTCTTTTTGCCGCAGGCACCATTAAATAACGTATATTTTTTTTATAATAAGGGCAAGCTGGCTCGTCGCATCCCAACATTTCTGCCTCATGAACGATGTGTCCACCTCTTTGTAACAACTCATCCCCAAGAATCAACCTTCTTACGCAAGAAAGTAAACAAGGTCCACAAAGAGCTACGGCGCAAACTGCTGCCAAGAATTCTAGCAACAGCATAACCGCTTCGTGCCACATCATCAATTATGGAGTAAAATTTTTTTCCAATGTTACAATCATGGTAAGTATTTACTGTCAACTGGTTTAAGAACGGGATAAAGACCTAACATTCAAATTATAAATTCATATAAATATTTGTTGAACTCAAAACCTTGACATGAATTATGAAGTGTCATGTTTTACATTTTAAAATCTTTTTATTATGTATTGTGTCAAACATGTGAATATTGGACCTATTCTTTACCTATAAGAATATTTTAATTAAGTTGTTAGTAAAGCGCTTAACATATAATATTTATAATAACCATAATATTTTTACAATATTATCAAATACTAAATTACACCTTAATTCATAAAACTTGCCTACACGGCATGGTGTCTATATTTCACTGTCACTAGCCCCGCTGAATAATTATACTTTATTTACCTTTCATCACCGCGAATATAAGTCGAGGACATAATTCTTTATAAAATTTTAACGTGAAGGGACCCATGGGAAGGCTCGAACCCATTGTTTCTATAGCAAAAGGCACAAATACATAATTTTTACATAGGGACTCATACTTGTGCCATTAACTTATTTTTACTTTGTCTGATGCCTTCCTGTCCTGGTCCTGACCGAGGTACCCCTTAGATGTGATGCCACCAACGTGTCTACGCAAGCAGCATCCCAAACCAAGGTTTTCCCCCTGCTTGCGTAGTTTGCGGAACGCAATTATGTTGTTATTTTTATTCATACAGCGAGCCTCCATACGATCGTTTGATCATCGCTTAATTAATTACGAAACTTTTTATTACCAAAAAGAATTAATTTTATTAATATTTTAAGGAATCTTGTGTTCTTGTATATTATTTATTCTTTTCATTCATTAATTATTTTCGTGATTAAAATAATAAAAAGACCGGAAAAGGATATAAATAATAAAATTATGAAAGCGCCATCTACATTCTTTAATGAGAACTGTAACAGGCGAATGTGATTGAGAATATGCTGCCATCTATAAAAATTAGCGGGCAGCTTCAAAGGCGGGACTTTTGTGTTAAATCTTAAAATTTCACTCTCGTCATTGTTTCATAATGTGCCTATAGACTTCAAAAATTCTCGCTTGTGGAGTGCGTGATAATTGACGATTTTTTTCTCTGTATATAATGAATCTGTAATAGTGAAAACTCATGTCAATTTCACTTTGACGTATGACAGTTCAACATGTGACGCTGTTGGGGTGACAACCAATATGGGTTTTTTGGAATACAATTCTTGTTTATTTATTAATTAATATTATTTTAGTTAACGAAATACATGTCAATCAGTATTTTATTCGATCTTTTAGTTATAAATTTTAAAGTGCAAAATGCGCTCGAAAATAGTGATTGGGTGAGTACAATAACTACTTGCTCAGTTTTGAAAATACAGCCTTAGAAATTGCAGACGTTAACAAGATGCGGTCTAATTTATCAACGAAACAAAACGTTGATTTTGAGTGTCGTATTTCATGTCCCTATCGAGGTTATTGTTTCGTTTCCTTTCCTTTATCAATCGGTATTAGTCGGCATATAATTAGAAACTTGTTTATAGTTTACTACTTTCTTTATTTTTAAATGATATAAACATTACCGTATGATAAACTAAAAAAAAGGAAACAATAAACCATAATAAACTAAAGGGGAAGGTAAATATAATTGATTGACTAAAATAATCTGATTTCATTATTATTTCTTTGTAGATCTGTACTTGTGCTGAGTGCTGTTGTAACTTGGCTGTTTGGCCATTTGTACCAGGAGCTGCTGAGTGCATATGAACAGTCTGACTCACTGATAGACTCCGACTACTCATGGTGATCAATTGTTTTAACTTAAGGAAATTAAAATTATGTGTTCCGGCTTCCTCTTTAGCCTCTTATTCTTCTTATTTTCTCACAGAAATGATATAATTTAGTGGAATAGGCTACAAGGCAGCTTCTGCTTATGAAAGATGGAATTATGTCATATAGAGGAGCATTACAGATGTTCAGAAGAGTGACCTGAAGTAAACAAATAATGTTTAATGAATTTTGTATATAGTCTGGTTAACGAGGTAAACACTGAGGCCCAATCTTTTGAAATGTTGGCAACAGATCTGCAACCCTGTATGTGTGCAGATTATTAGAATGTGGTATTCATTTAATATTAATTGCACTCATATAACAAATTAATAATAAACTTTAACTGAATAAAAAATTTGCACTTTGAAGTGGGAACGAAGCATTCATACTGTTGGTGTATGACTAGTCAATTACTTATAATATATAATATTTAAAATTCTTGTGTCACAGTTTTACTTTTAAACTCCTCCGAAACTGCTTGACCGAATTTGATGAAATTTTAAATGTATATTCACTGTATGAGAATAGGTTTATAACTAATTTTTATACCCCTTAAGTGTAAGGGTGAAGTGGAAAAATTATGGCAAAACAAAGTTTGCCGGATCAGCCAGTATAACTACATATATCATATTATATGCAAAGTAAGTAATATAGCTCTTTAACCATCATAATTACAATACTCTGTCATTGTACATTTCTAAATTGTGAAGTACAATAACAATATTTCTATAAAACTACCATGTGCTTATTATTGTTTTTCAAGTAAATAATTTTCTTTTGCAGGTGCTTCCGGCTGCTGCTGAATTTGGTTGGATATGCGACAGTCCTGGTGCCAAGTTATTTGCTGTACAAGTATCTGCACAGAACTAATTATTTTGACAAGATAAGTAAGTGTAATAATAACAGCCAATACAGTAATAAATGGTTTAGTTCAAAATATTTGTTAAGTACTTGCCATGCCTGTATCTTTTAAACTGATGAAGGTTGTACATATTAACAGCTTCACATTATGAGCTGTTTATTTTGCATCATCACATGAGTTATGATCGTTATCACGCCGCTTATATGACTATTATGGAACAGGAAAAGCCTAATTATTAGAGTGTGAGCATTGCTAATCCACTAATGCAGTGACCGTTTCGTGTCATGCGTTGCAATTGCTTAGATAGAGATTACATGATAGAAGCATGGTGTCAATTTGATTCAAAATAATATAAGTTCGGAGTTTTATTAAATTATGTGAAATGTTAAGTGACAATGAATTTCCTTAAGAGAAACTGAAAAGAAGCTGATCCATTTGATAGTTAGTGGCGATGCCGCCGTGAATGTTAAACATTTTTTTTATTTTAATTAAAACCATCACTAATCACTTAGTGAGTTAGCGGTCCATTCATAGCTTGATGGCGTTTGTTCATGCCTTGGACAAAACAAAAGTATAAATACTTTCTCTTCTAGTCGATTTTCTGCAAAGCTGTTATACTTCCCTTACGAAATAGTACCTGTTATGTAAATTGCTCTACAACAATGATAAACAAAACGCAGAAACGCTCAACTCAATAAAAGCCTATTTACTCTTGCCTTGAAGGCGTCTACATTATATTCTTATGGAAGGACAGACGCATATTAGTATTTATTTATATTACTTATGTTTAGCACATAAGTAGCACACTAGTACAAGAGTGTTTTTAACCTAGGAGTTTGGTCGCAGCACGTAAAAAAAAAGGTTGCGATAAATGTTGTATCTACAGCTGTCTGTATTATCTTTACTTGGACTATTTACCCCGTTTATAGACGTGTCTTTCGACAGCGTTTAAAGAAATATCTGCTTCATTATTACATGCTTTCATAGCATATTATTCAATCCAATTCTGATGCTACATCGTTCTTATTCGATTAAAGATTTTTGCTGTTTTCTTCTAGAATCTGCAAATAGATAAATAAAGCAGAGAAGATATGTGTGTGCAGTTGTAGATTTATAAATATATAATATAAAAAAATGACAGTGTTAAAGTAAATATCACAATTGTAATAGCGTGCCGCAATTTGGTGTATTGCTGATTATACATCGAGATAAGGGGCTGATATTGTTTAGTCATATGGCCCTATTGCCCAGTGACGATTTGTTCCTCGATAAGCTGATGTTATCAGCGGCCGGTAGGTAGCGCCGAACGTTTTTCGGAAGCAAATTGGGCGGGGTTATTGAGGCTAAACGTCAGTAAATGGCTTGATCGTAAAGTAAAGCCATTGGTATCCATATAATGTTAATCGATATGTTCTAGGATGAACCTTGTTTTTTGTAAATAATGTATTAACACTTAAGATTTGCATTTAGGCTCTACCCGTTTTTATTCTCTACCCGTTTATCTAGATCGTGCCGTACTGAATGCGCGTTTCTAGTTGAACCAATTTTCGTCCCATGTTTAATTCGCCTTTCAATATTTGATGTTACAGTTTAGAACAAATTGATTGAAAATCAATTTCTTCGATATTTTATGTGAAAAATTTGTAGTTTCGAGCAAGTTTAATCTTAAGTGATAACTGTTGCCCCGCGATATTTCATACTAGCCGCTACTCGCGACTACGTCTGCATAGAATAGGCTGAACGCGTAACAAGACAGAAAGACAGATATACATAAAAATACATAATATTATAGCCTATGTGTTATTCTGATGTATAAGCTATATTCTTATCCTCTAAACGTGCAGTTCTTGTATAAATAAATAAATAAATATATATATACAGCGTGTCGTTACCATCGCGACAATAAATGAACACACATATAGGGGATAACTTTTTAAAGTTGTATTAAACATTTAAATTCTTTAAACATCGATATTTACAGAGTTATTAAATTTACCAAAACAAAGAATTTTAGAACACCCTTACTTATAAAAGCGTAACGTAAAGTTCATTTCTAAAGGTCACAAAGTTTGAAAAATATGAATTATGGATTTTGTTTTACGTTAATATTTTTTTATGATATGACGCACGTAGCGTTAGACGTGTGTTCATTTATTGTCGCGACGGTAACGAAACGCTGTATATCTATATATATATAATCGGAATCTCGGATACGGACCTTTTATCCCTGTTATGAGGGAATGAAAAATATCATTCGAATAGGACGGTAAATTTCGCCGCAAAAAATATTAAAAATATAGTAGTTCGGTCGGTAATCGGGCGGCCCCCAAAACAGACGACTGCGGTTCGTATCACGATCATTTTACACACTTATTTTTTTCTTTTTTTCTATACCAGATCATTGTTTTATTATTTTTTTTATTTCCAAAATACATGATTTACCAAAAAAAAAAAACGAGCAAATCTCGGCCCTCCAGGTACTCATTGTAAGGTTTCATTAAAATCCATTCAGTAGTATTTGCGTGAAGGAGTAACAAACATCCATCCATATATACAAACTTTCGCATTTATAATATTAGTAAGGATGTGGGCAAACTTATAGGTCCCGGCAAACATTTCCGAAAAATGCATTCGTATTAGTAGTGGATCTCTCGGTCTCTCAGGGGTTTTTGAGGCGGGGCAGGGAATTTCGACCGAGCAATCCAAAACATAGAACCGATAACCGTTGGGGAAGAAAGGTTCTCGAGTGGCAGCCTCGTACTGGCCATCGCAGTGTGGGACGACCCGCCACTAGATGGAGTGACGACCTGTGCAAATGTGCGGGAAGTCGATGGATGCAGGTGGCTCAGGATCGTGCTTCATGGCAGTCTGTGGGGGAGGCCTATGTTCAGCAGTGGACTCAAACAGGCTGAAATGATGATGATGAATCCAAAACAATTGCTTGCACCAAAATGAATTTCCGCGAACCACTCCTCCCACTTAAGTAAAGTAGCAACCTATATATGCCCAACCGCGGGGTAAATGCCTCATCTGTACAGAGTATTAGGGCGTATTCCACCATCCGACACAACTGGTGATTGGCGGACTTCACATATGTTCGAAATTTTTTTGGTATTATTACGAAAATATGCCATAAGGTTTTCTCACGATGTTTTCTTTCACCGCTGAGCACATAAGTCACTTAACTTTCATTGGTGCCGGCATCTGGATTTGAATTGGAATGGAATCAGACTGCTCGAGTATGTTGAATTAAAAGCGATCGCCCGAACACTCAGCTATAACGCTATTTATGCTGGACCAAAGTAAAGGTATATATTTCTATTCGCTGTGGGTATACTGTCCACTATACCCGGGCCATCCATACTAATATTGTCAATGCGAAAGTAACTCTGTCAGTCAGTCTCGCTTTCACGCCAAAACTACTGAACCGATTTAAATGTAATTTGGTACACAGATGGTCTAGAGCCTGAGAAAGGACATACGCTATTTTTAAATTGGAAAAAGTGTAGTAAAGGGTTGAAAGGTTTAAGAAAGATATTTATTTAAGTGATTCAACGCGAGCGAAGCCGCGGGCGAAAAGCTAGTATTAAATAAAACGCAAAAATATTGTTATCTACCTTCATTTAATGCTGGCATACTGTGCCCGTGGGACTTTCTTAGATAGTGATTGTTTGTGAAGCTGAAGTTTTCATCAAAGGCGTCGTAGCTTTATAATAAATTCACTTAAATATTAAATGATTACTAGGGCGAAGAATGCTTTAAAATGTAGAGCAATATTCAAGCAAAATATTATTCTAGATAATAAGGATGTTGGCTGCACAATTGGTTTTATTTGTATTTGTTATTTTTGTCATTTTTCAATCATTCGATATTTGTTGTCTCCCAGTTGTTTTAAAAATACACATAAAACAGGGCTCTCAATTTGGTCGCTGTCTTAGCCGTAGCTCAGTGTCCGGGCGCTCGCCTTTAATTCAATATACTCGAGCAACCTGAGTTCGATCCCCGGTGCCGGCACCAATGAAGTTTTTAACTTTAAGTGCTGACTTATCACGTGCTCCGTGGTGAAGGAAAACATCGTGAGGAAACCTGCATATTTTCGAAATAATAACAAAAAAAAAATATATTTCGAAGATATGTGAAGTCCGCCAATCCGCAGTGGGGCCGCGTGGTGGACTATGCCCTGATACCCTCTGTATAGAGGAGGCCTTTGCACAGCAGTGGGACATGTATAGGCTGTTACTTTTTTTACTTTACTTAGCTGCTCTGTATTTGGTGCCCTTATCCCATCTAGGCGCCTAGCTTTTTTACGACCGGCCGCCTGACTGACGTCAAGCCTTCTTGGTATCCAACCCAGATCCGGAACAGTTATCTGCTGGTCACACATATATTTGTGGCGTGTGTGAATCGAACCCACATCCTCTGGTGCCGTAACCAATGGCTTAGCAACTGCCTCACCGAGTCTTCAATTAAATCTTGAAAGACGAGAGAGCTTTACTACTTCAAGTCTTCGCTGAAAGCTGGCTTTATGTCTTCAGCGAACAAGACATGGTTGTCGCGTGTCCTTTACGCTTGCTTCGGGGAGCCGGGCGAGAGGTTGCCAGAGGCGGCCAAACCGGTCAAAGCCGAAGAGTCTCGCGAGTGCTTCGAGCTGGTCTTCTGTTTCACCGGCCTTATGGGCTCCTACCTCGTGTGGGGCCTGCTGCAGGAGAAAATTATGACGCAGGTAGGCAAGACAGGGCAAAGACCCTATCAGTACAGCGGGTTATTCATTCATTCTTCATTGCGGATTGGCAGACTTCACATCTTTGAAACACATTTTATAAAATAATTTTTAGTATACAGGGTGAATGATAGCTCAGTGTCCGGGCGCTCGCCTTTAATTCAATATACTCGAGCAACCTGAGTTCGATCCCCGGTGTCGGCACCAATGAAGTTTTTAACTTTAAGTGTTGACTTATCAAGTGCTCCGCGGTGAAGAAAAACATCGTGAGGAAACCTGCATATTTTCGAAATAATAACAAAAAAAATATATATTTCGAAGATATGTGAAGTTCGCCAATTCGCAGTGGGACATGTATAGGGTGTTACTTTACTTTTACACAGGTTGCCCCGAAACTCAACGTCAAACGAACACGAGCGATAGGCTAGGCAAAAATAACTGCTAACAGTTCAGGCAAAAATAAAAAATTAATTCCGCTTTGTTAAGTGATAACAGGAATATTTTTGAAAATCTTAAAAATCAATACTCTAGATCTCTAGGTATTTAGGTACTCTGATCACAAACTTTCCAATTTTTTAGTGTTCTTCTTAAAGTAATTCTTAAGAACTATGCTATTGATTACAGTCACAAATCTCATAATTAATATGGTTTAGTATAAAATAAATATAATAGTAATAATAATAATTTCGAATATGCACATTTTAATATTTCATCTTTAGTGCAGAGATTAGTACTATAAAAGTTTAAATTTAATAATATAGAAAATAAAAACTTAATAAAACTTGTAAATTTGGCAAACTTAGAGAAAATGTTTGGCTTTGCTTTGTATATTTGGATCACATGACCACTAGAAACCTGCATGGGTGGTAAAGCATGCTCTGCAAAACTTGTTACAGAACTACGTGATGCCCGACGGGAGCCTGGTCCGTTTCAACGATTCGCAGCTGCTGGTCTTCATCAACCGTCTACTGGCTTTCCTGATAGCCCTGGCTCACCTCCTGGCCACTGGGCAGGCGGTCATCGCGGCGCCCCTTTACAAGTTCTCCTACTGCTCCGTCACCAACATCATCAGCGCCTGGTGCCAGTACGAGGCGCTCAAATTCGTCAGCTTCCCCACTCAGGTGAGCGGTTTCCTTTAATGTTTGTTAAGTTTTGCGTCTGTTATGCTTTAGTGCACATTCCCGTAGTAAAGTTTCACGTCGTTGAAAAATAATTTACGCCAATACGATGCGAATGTGACTTCAACATGTTCGAACATCGTCGATGCTAGGCATGAGATATACCTGCAACATTCTATACCCGGCCTCAAAGGTACGGATATCGCCGTATACCCGGTGCTAAAACCCAGTATCAAAATACCTATAGGTATTAGTTATGTTCAGGCCTCCTTTTGGAGACCCGGTATGGAATTGAACCTTTCTTTGGTTGGAATTGGATTTTTAGCAATCAGTTTTTTTTAAATTGAGATTTAATCAGTCTAAAATAAGCTCCATCTTTACTAACGTAAAGAACGCTATTATCAAAAAAAAAGTAATTCAAAATAAATATTACTGTTTAACCTTATTACGCAATTATTTATTTAACTTATGGTCATAGAAATAAAGAATAAATTTATCTCAAGGAATTATTTGGTATTAAATGCCTAAATCATACATTTCAATTCGGGCATGATCGGGAAGAGCCGCCGTAAGCGTTCGGGGAACTTCGTACCTATTCGGCCGGCGGGTTGTCGCGAGCGTTATATACCGCCACCGTCGGACGAGGGGGCCATACCCAGCCATACCTATCGGGTATGGAACGGGCCTCTGCCGTACATACCCGGTGTGCGTACTAGTATGTTCATACTGGGTATTTTGCGTCAGGGGGTACCTATCCCAACTGGCCTGTCCGTCAGTTGTGATATGGTATACGGGTGCGCGACCCCCACTCCCCGAGCTGCTGCTGTCTCATCCGCATCCATCTGAGACAGTAGTGTCCCTACCTTTATCCACTCCCAAGATCCAAACCGTTCCTCTCCCGATTTCCTTGTAGCGGCTCCCTCCCACTAAACACACAAAGCCTATCTCCGTGAGGAAGGCAACTCACAGCAGATATGCAATGAGATTGGCGGACCCGGCGCGATAGCAAGGCCTGGTGGATGGCCTAAGGCGATGGTAGAGGGCGTAAAGTTGTCATCGGCCAGATACATCATCGGAACCCTTCTCCGGTCGTATTGGTCCGCTCCACTGGGTCAAGAAGGGCGAAGACGAGTGTGTGCATCTGCGTTTGCGCGCACGTTTGTGCACCTAAATATCTCCTGCGCACTTGACTGTTTCCGAAATAAGGACTCCGAGCTTCGTAAAGCCCAGTGGCGATGGGTCGAGGTAGAGATGTTCGGTTTGATGCAGACCGGGCATTGTCTGAGACCTCACACGGGCGGCTCCAGGGGTGTTCTCAGAACATCGTGGTCGCTTCCCTTCTGACTTGGGGAGACGGAAGTGGTTCGGTAGCACCTGGAGTGACAAAGCAGCCCTATTCAGGGAAGCACTGCTTTCCCTGCTCAGCCTGGGAGGGGGCTAGAAAAGGTGCCCTAAAAATTGCTCTCCCAACACTTGAGGACGGTAGCAACCGCGGCTGCCTCCGCATCGATAAATTCGCGGTCGACGTCGCAAAAGTAATTATGATAACAACAAAACATCAAATATGACTTTTGGCGCGTGGAACGTACGTACACTCCTTGATCGCAATGAAAGCAATGGTCCAGAACGAAAAACCGCCATGTTGCCCGAGAACTTCTTCGCTACGATGTAGATGTGGCTGCCCTCAGCGAGACTCATTTAGCGGAAGAAGGAGAACTGGTGGAACACGGTGGTGGGTACACTTTCTTTTGGAAAGGACTCGCTGCCTCAGAACCGCGACGGTCAGGTGTTGGATTTGCGATCAGGAATAGATTTATCAAGCATCTCCAAGAATGTCCAATTCACATCTCGGACCGCGTTACCACACTACGCCTACATCTTGACAATCAGAACTATCTCAATGTGATCAGTGTTTATGCGCCTACTTTAAACAAGTCTGATGACATTAAAGATCAGTTCTATGAGGAGCTTGCAAAATGCATTAAAGCACAAGGCCTAAAGAGCAGATTCTTCTGTTGGGCGATTTTAATGCCAGAGTTGGACGGGATTACGATGTATGGCCCAAGGTCTTGGGTAAACACGGAGTTGGGTGCATGAACAGCAACGGACATCTGTTACTCAGTCTCTGCGCACAATTCCAAATTGCCATCACGAGTACCATGTTCATACTTCCCGCTAAATATAAGAACACCTGGATTTACCCAAGGTCCAAACACTGGCATCTAATTGATTATGCCATCGTACGGCAACGAGACGTTTCCCAGGTCCTAGTTACCCGCGCAATGCGTGGTGCCCACTGCTGGACTGATCACAGGCTTGTTGTTACCAAACTGCGTCTCCGACTCCAATTTCCCCGCCGGTCTAGAAAATCTAAGCCTAATGTGAGTTTTAACGTGGATGGGCTAAAAGATCCTGTGACGAGGGAGAAGTATGCTCGCACTTTGGCCACTGGATTACCATCCGTCAACAAAGACACTGGCCGAGTTGACTGCGACTGGGGTATTCTGTCTTCTCATATCCTAGACACCGCTGCAACTATTTTGGATCAAAAAGTCCGAAAGACCGAAGACTGATTCGATGAGATTGACATAGTCCTGACAGGGGCAGTCGATAGACACCGACGTCTTCTCCGGCAACACCACGGAGTAAACCAAAGTGTGCGAGCTACGGCGATCAGAAAAAGTGACCAGGAGCTTAGGCGGCTATCTCGGGAAACTAAGGATAAATGGTGGTGGGGGGGCTCATCACATTCAGTGGCTCGCTGACACTAATCAGCTTGGAGAGTTTTATGGAGAGGTTCGTAAGCTAATTAGTACGACTTCCTTTGCAAAAGTGCCCATTAAGCCTGCTAGTGGCGAAGGTCTTCTCAAAAGCAAAGAGGAAGTACTCGAACGTTGGGCGGAACACTTCGGCATTCTGCTGAATGTGGACCGGGCTGCAGACCTGGAACACATTCGTTCGATACCTCAACTCCCAATTTGCACTGAGCTGGATGAGTCACTATCATGTGAGGAGATTGCTCTCGCCATCAATCAACAGAAAAATAAACGCGCGGTGGGCATCGACTTTATACCAGGAGAACTGCTTAAATACGGTGGTAATGAATTGCAACTTGCTATTTGGGAACACTTTGATCGTATGTGGAAAGAAGAACAAGTCCCACCTACTTTTAAATTATCACGCATAAGGGCCCTATATAAGAACAAAGGTGACCGATCCGATTGCGATTCATACCGCGGTATTTCACTTCTATCAGTCCCCGGAAAAGTTTTTGCCCGTGTACTACTTAACCGCCTCATGAAACTTTCAGAAAAGCTTTTACCCGAGACCCAGTTTGGCTTCCGACCTGAACGAGGAACGTGTGAGGCCATTTTCTCTGTATGTCAACTGCAGGAGAAAAGCAGAGAGCAAGGTCGTCATTTATATCTCTGCTTCGTTGAGCTAGAGAAGGCCTTTGACAGTGTGCCTCGAGAAGCCCTCTGGATAGTACTTTCTAAGATCGGGTGTACAGAGAAGTTTGTAAGGCTTCTAAGACTCCTACACGATGACATGAAGTGCTGTGTCACTGTCAACGATGAACAGACTGAGTTTTTCCCCGTCACCTGTGGGGTAAAACAGGGATGCGTCCTGGCACCCACACTGTTCGCGTTGTACTTTGCAGTTGTTATTTAAGAAGTCTTGCAATTGACCTCTGAAGGTGTCCGCCTCCGTTTCCGTACGGACGGCGGTATATTTAATCTGGCAAGACTGAAGGCTCGCACCAAAGTTTCGCATACTATGATCACCGAAATAATGTACGCCGATGACCTATGCTTTGTTACAGAATCCCCAGACGGCCTGCAGCAGCTAATGTCCGATTTCAACGAGTCGTGCCGAAAATTCGGCTTAAAAATCAGCGTTAAAAAGACGGAAGTGATGTCCCTAGACATACAAGGTCACGAGGCATTGGCAATAAAACTCGGTAGGGACTAGCTGAATCAGGTCGACAAGTTCCGTTATCTGGGGAGCACACTATCATCTAAATGTGATCTAGACGCGGAAATCAACAGCAGGATCGGCGCTGCTGCTGCATCGTTCGGCAAGTTGGATGCGAAGGTTTTCAGCTCCCATGACCTAAAGCTGGCGACCAAGATCTCCGTCTACATGGCTGTTGTGCTGCCAAATTTACTTTATTCTGCCGAAACATGGACCGTGTACCGCCGTCACATCCTACGTAAAATACTTAACATGCCATGGTCTGATCGTGTACGGAACACCGAAGTGCTGCGAGGAGCCAATGTAGGTGGCATTGAGGCTTACCTTATGCGGCGTCAGCTTCGGTGGTGCGGACACGTGTCACGTATGGCGGAGCAAAGAGTTGCTAAGCGCATCTTTTACTCGGAACTGGAGGTATCCTCAGGTACAAAGATGTGCTTAAGCGGCACATGAAGAGGTGCAGCATCGACCCGCTGCTATGGGAGCAGCAGGCAGCCAGAAGGACTGGGTGGAGGGAGCTAGTTAAAACGAGCGCCCAAAACTTTGAGGACAGGCGGCTCTGTGAGCTAGACGCCAAGCGAGATGAACTAAAGACTCGACCACCAGCGGCCATTAGTTATAATTACCTCCTTTATTATGTTATAAATGCGAGGATTTTTACGAAAAAAATTGAATACATAAGCCACACGCGAACACACCAAAGACAAAATCGGAGTTGAATGCAGTCGCCGTGGCCGAAATCGGCCGGGAGCAATCATCATCATCATCACTGGGTATGGCATTTATACCTGTTCCAGTATATACGCCTTATCCCTAGTCGTTGCGAAGTTGACAATTATTAAAGTTATTGCTCGTTTTGGTTGTGTTGTGTATACCTTTTTCCTGTTTTCCGTCCTGTAGACGACTTAAATTCGACAACTTAAAAATAAAAAATGTAGTGGATCGAATTGTGGGTCTAAACTATTTTCAAATCGATCTTAAGACACAGAAAAAATGTCATTAAAATCGGTCCAGCCGTTTAGGAGGAGTTTAGTGACATACACATACAAAAGAATTATATGCAGGGAGAATTTACAAAAAGTGCCCAAATTTTCACAGAAAGTTCAGACTCGGTAGTATAAATGTACAGTGAAATAAAAACAAACTTTTTTTTAGCTAAAAGCTAGTTACACGATCTGCACCCGTTCCTGGCCCTTTGTTCCTCAATAATGCTTAGTTAGCGCCCGCGGTTCCCACGCATCGTAACGCGAAGTGGAATGTTCCGACGATGACGAAAATGCAGAGGCAGCAGTTCCAGCCCTCGTTTCTTTTAGTATTAAGTTTAGTCGTAAGGACAGTCTGTTTTAAACATCCGATTGTATCACTCACTTGTAATTTTTAATTAACATTAAATATTAAAATCGATTTAGTGTCTTTTTAAAAAGCAAGTTGCGCCTTCCTCAAACTTGACTAGCTAAAAAACAGAACTTGTTGACAATGCGGTAGTCATTCATAAATACCTAAATTTTACTGTGCACGCACACAAACAAAACGAATCGCTCGCGACGAAAAATCGCAGACGACCCTTCCTCTTTTCCCGCGTCCGTCTCACCCGCGCCGGCACGGCGAGACATGGTAGGATTTAGTACTATAATTATAGTATTTGTACTATAATTTCAAGCTATCCATATCTAAGGATAGTACAAAAACGTACCATAATTTCATTACTTTACTTAAATGACCAATATTATACCATTCACTGCCAATTATCCAACATTAAAAGAAGTTCTTTGGGTTCTAATCACGTTGTAATTGTTTAACTTTTTTCAATACTTTGGACTTTTTGACAAAAAATGGACTTTTTCAATACTCCGGTTTCACAAACAGTCACGCCCGGTTTCTGAAACACTGATCAACGTACATGTCAACTAATCAGCTGTCAAATGGATTTCAAATTACAATTTAATTCAATGGTTAAACTTTGTGAATTGACCAGAATGATCTTCTTAATGATCAGAATGATCAATTCAAAGAGTTTAAACATCCTTTTGGCAACTCAAATGACATTTGAAATTCATTTGATAGCTGATTAGTTGACATCTAAGTTGATCAGTGTTTCAGAAACTGGGCGTCACTTTGCACTCAATGAAGTAATTAATAGTACGATTAACTTTTTATTTTTATGATACTGTCGTTCCATTATTATTCAAAGTTCAAAGTGATAACAATTTTCTGCGAGTTTTTGAGTAAAATAATTTTTCTACATGTTTCGTTTTAATGTTCAATCTTAAGTGCAGAGATTAGCACTATAAAAACTTTAAAATTTATAAAAAAAAAGCAATGGCGACATCTCTCGTTCGAATTATTGTTGTAAAACGATATTCGAAATTGTTTGTATGCTGGAAAGGATATAGATGCGCCAAGCATTGCTTCAAATACTAAATAACAATGTAGAAAGAAGGCGTTAAGATTTTCGTCGCTGTGGCTATCAGCCGTTTAGCTCAGTGGCTAGAGCGTCAGGCCGCGAATACCGAAGACGTGGGTCCCACAGCGGCGATAATCTTTTCGTACTTTTTCTAGATGTTTTAAAATAATTAATTTTTTGTTCATTAACTATGAAAATAATAGTGAACTATAATTTTTTGTCAAATACAGTTCTTTTAAATTTTTTGTACAATCATTTTTACCGCACCTAAATCCAACCTTGTCATAGCCTTGAGTCACGTTGAGGCCCTTCGTTAGTTTCAGTTAGGCATGAGATATACCTGCAACATTGTATACCTGGCCTCAAAGGTACGGGTATCGCCGTATACCCGGAGCTAAAACCCAGTATCAAAATACCTATAGGTATTAGTTATGTTCAGGCCTCCTTTTGGAGACTCGGTCGAATCAAACGAATCGAACCTTTGGTTGGAATTGGAACATTTAGATATTTTTTTAGCAATCAGTTTTTTTTAATTGAGATTTAATCAGTCTAAAATAAGCTCCATCTTTACTAACGTAAAGAACCCTATTATCAAAAAAAAGTAATTCAAAATAAATATTACTGTTTACCTTATTACGCAATTATTTATCTACCTAATTGTCATAGAAATAAAGAATAAATTTATCTCAAGGAAATATTAGGTATAAAATGCCTAAATCATACGTTTCAACTCGGGCATGATCGGGAAGAGCCGCCGTAAGCGTTCGGGGAACTTCGTACCTATTCGGCCGGCGGGTTGTCGCGAGCGTTATATACCGCCACTGTAGAACGAGGCGGCCATACCCAGCCATACCTATCGGGCATGGAACGGGCCTCTGCCGTACATACCCGGTGTGCGAACTGGTATGTTCATACTGGGTATATATACCTGTGCCAGTATATACGCATCATCCCTAGTTTCAGTTTGACCGAAGCTCTACGAGCGGCTTCTATTAAACAGGCTCAAAGAGCACGTGTTTTCCAATGTCTTTCTGCCGGCGGAACAATTCGGATTTCGAGCATTCCTGTCCCGATCAATTATACCGCCTAACGGTATGATTGATCGGGACTGCCTATCCTAAAAAGCCTAAATCGCCCTAAACATATTAGCACGGGGGCTCTTTTCTTCGATGTCGCAAAAACATTCGACAAGGTCTGGCACAACGGCTTGCTTTACAAGCTGTATACACTCAAAGTGTCAGATAGACTTGTACACACCATCCGGGCCTTCCTGTTGAATCGCTCTTTTCGACATCGAGTCGAGGGAACCCTCTTCACAAGTCGCCGCCTGACGGCTGGCGTTCCACGAGGCTCCTGCCTCTCACCTTTGCTCTTTACGCTCTACACGAGTGACATACCAAAAGACCCCCACGTCAATCTCGCGCAGCCGGTGCGCAGTGGTATCAACGCAATGTCGACCTCGCGTTCGCGAATATTTTAAAGACCTGACCAAACGGTTCTTAGATAGATACGAACATCATCCCAACCCTCTGTTGGTAAGCGCAGCAAATGTCCAACTCGACACAAACGCGAACGTCAACGAGCGTCGCCCGCGAACGTCCTCAAGGAAATGGACATAGATGCGCTGGACCCATCGCTGGGGGTCCCGCCGGTTAACACTACACCCACAGTTTGTGCAACAACAAACACACTAGTTCGTCCTCGCCTCCGAGCACGGCGAGACCAACACAACGCGTACACAAGGTACACCCGCGTTCCGGGGCGGTTCTTACCGCTCCCAGCTACCGATTAGCTAATTGCACAGTCGATGGCCATCGGGGTTTCGGTCCGAACTGCGACCTCGATGGCCCTTAGATGACACACCATAGTTAAACACGCATGAGCACATGCGTGGCCCTACCCACTGCGGAGGGCCCAAACCCGTGGGTTCTGCGTAAAATTGGACGTTCGATAAGAACGCGCAATCGTCTGGTCGAATTTCGTCGTGTAGGTGCTGTCGAAGTCGTGCAAGGTGATCCCGGTGATGGTGATGGGCAGGCTGATCTCGCGCACCAAGTACGAGTGGCACGAGTACGCGAGCGCCGCGCTCATCTCGGCCGGCATGGCGCTGTTCATGGCGGGCAGCCAGGGCGCGGCCGCGCCCTCGGCCGCCACCACCGGCGCCGGCCTGGCGCTGCTGGCGCTGTACATGGCCTGCGACGGGTTCACCTCCTCGTGGCAGGCGGCGCTGTTCGCGCGCCACGCGCTGCGCCCGCTGCAGATGCTGGCCGCCGTCAACCTGTGCTCCGTGGCGCTGACGGCGGCCGCGCTGCCCCGCGCGCCCCCGCGCCTGCTGCAGCACCCGCCCTTCGTGGCCGACTGCCTGCTGCTGGCGCTCAGCTCGGCCGCCGGCCAGGTGCTCATCTACCGCACCATCGCGCGCTTCGGCGCCGTGCTCTTCGCCATCGCCATGACGCTGCGCCAGGCCGTCTCCATCCTGGTCTCGTGCGCGCTCTACGGCCACGCGGTGGCCCCGGAGGGCGTCTGCGGCGTGCTGCTGGTCTTCGCCGCGGTGCTCTTCCGCCTCTACTGCCGCTCGAGGCGGAGGCGCCCCCACAGGGCCGACGCGCCCGACCGCGCTAACAAATAGGTGGAATGGACCCACGACCCCCGACGCCGAAGCCGTGAAACACGATAGATGTCTTCAATTGATAAACAATTTGATTTTATAATATGACATTCATCATAATTACTGAACACGGAATTTGAAGACGCCTTCGAAGTTGATCCGTACAAAAAAACGAGCACATATCGCTTCGCGTCTCGCTCCCACTCTGCGTGCATAATGCATTTGTAAAATATTTTTTTCCCATACAATTAAACGTTTTAATAAATAATATGAAATTTAAAATAATACGTTCACAAAATCAACACTTAAATAAGGAGTGTTTTATTAATTGAGACCGTCAACGCAAAAATTACTAAGCTAGTATAAAAAAATGAGTTTTAAATAATTTTAAAAATCATTTTACATATTATTATACATGTTTTAGAATGAAATAACTTATTTTGATTAATTTTATAACTTAAACTATTCATGCTTAAAGAAAGAAAAAGTTACAGAAATTTGTCAACAAAGTTTTAGCTGCGCCAAGAAAATTGTTACATTTAAGGCGCTGAATGCAGTAAAAACAGGTTTTTCAAAAAAAAAAATTAACAAAATCTATACATTTTATAGAAGCAAAAAAAAAAAATATGTTAATCTTGATCTTACATCCTAATGGACCATTGTTTTCAAAACATATTCTCGATATATTTTCTCGATAGACAAAAATCACGAACCTACCTTTAAACGTGGAATTCAAATAAAAAAATAGATATAATGAATGAACAAATCTTAATGAAATTAAAATCACAATTTATATTGTACCATACCATAAAAACAAAAAAATAATAATTATAAGTAATTTGCCTTCATTAATTTATTTTACTTTAAGATGTATTTTTAATCAATTCCTTTTCCATTTAATTAAAAAAATAAAAATAAACAGGAAGAAGATTTTCTAAAATTGTTGATTGCTTGGTCATCATGGTCTATAAAAGATATTATAGGGACCATCTGTGTACATTTTCAACAGTCTTCCATGATACTATCGATAGTGTCCTACGGCCCATCACTACACACGAGGTAATGAATGGTCTAGCGGCGCTTCGAAGAAACTCGCGCGCTGCGCGCCGTTAAGCGGCGTTACCCCTCCTCCGCTTTCTCATACTTCACCACCCAAATAGTTAAAAATTCACTGCATACAGCGCCTTAAATAACATTACTTGTCAGCTTATCCCGTTAAAATATATTATGTTAGATACCAACATGCAAACCTAAGCGACTTAAGCTACTTTTGCATTATCAGCAGAGTAAAAATAAAAACCGTTCGAGTTGTATGGGAGCCAGACTTACAATTTTTTCTTTTTAGTTTTTTTATTATTTGTTGTTAAAGCGGTAACAAAAATGCAACCAACAATGTGTGATAATTTCAACTGTCTAACTATCGCGGTTCATAAGTTACAGCCTGGTGACAGACGGACAGAAAGATAAAGACAAACAGCGGAGTCTTAGTAATAGGGTCCCGTTTCACCCTTTGGGTACGGGAACCTAAAAATGCAAGATTAATTTTACAACGGATGGCGTTGTAAAATTAATCATCATATTGACGATTGGTGAAACAACGGTTTTGCTTTAAACTTTATCATGTCATAGATAATCTGTAGTAGGTTAAAATTGCGGGCCGCTTTTGCGCTGACTGTCTCAAAATTTATAATTGATTAAATGAAAAAATGAGTGTGATAATTTTTTAAAGACAAGCGTATACTTTAAAGCAACATTTATGTTTAGTTAAATGTTGAAAATAAATAACGCGCACAAATTTACACAGAGTAAAATTTAATTGTAAAATAATGCTTGGTGTTTGAAATATTTCGCATATGTTTTGAACGAGTTTTTCTGATATATTTTTGTTAATTTACAAGAGACTTAAAAGAGCGTGCTTAATCTGCTATCCACAAAATATTGAGGACAAAGTCGTACAATAATAATTATGTTTCTTCTGCTCTGTTCTGTATGTCAAACTTTTCAGCACTACGTTTTTAGTGTGAAAATGTTATTGAAACGATAATATTGTAAAAAAGAAAAGTTTCAAGAAACTTCATATTTGTATCTCCTAGTCTATTTATATGTGTCTATTAAACATTTTTTTTATGTCCCAATTAATTTAAATGTAAATAAAATGCCGGGAATGAGTATAATGTTAAAATGTAATTAAATTTTGATGATAATGAAATGCGTATTGCAAATAAATTCCGAGGAATAAAAGAGGAAATAAATTTTATGTTATAATCTTAGTGAGTACAGTTTGAAACTTTTATGATATTCCGTAACTCTTAATTAGATCATACTGAGGTATGATCTAATTAACGCCAATTAGTAGATGGCCCTACAATCCTCAATCGTAGGGCCATCTACAAACTAGGCTTTGTTTTTGGAGTTGGGATCAATTAATATGATATCGTTCTTTACCAACATTTAATTAAATTTAGGGGATTTAATTCTTGTTTCATATTGTGGTATACGTGTGTATTATTGTTTACAATGATTATTATATATATACATAGTTATTTTTAAAGGAAACTCAATAAATCTCCACTGTGTTCGTTTTCGGCTTTTCAGCCGGCACCGTTAAAACGATTAGAGAAATATATCATTATCTAGTGTTGTGTTACTAGGGTAGTATCTAAAGAATAGGTTTAAGTAATATGTACAATATTATAAATATTACGCCTTTCACCGTGTTTCCTTACCTCCCAATCTTCGATTCAGTTCGGTGGTTACTAGTTCCTACATCGCGAATCGCCTTTTGAAAGGCAAGAACTTCATGGATGCGTTATTCTGTCAACATACCCATCCATATGTCATGAGAATTCAAAAAAACGAGCTGAGATTTCAAATGAAGTTTTTCTTTCATAGGCTTTAATGCAAACTGTTCGCCGTCCATTCAAGAACGTCAAGAAATAATTAGATGATTAACATAATTTTGTCAAACATGGCAATTCTTATCATGATTAAAGCTATAGCTGAGATGATATGGTAATGTATACAAACAGATTATTATGTGTAGTGGGACACTACAAGGACTTATATATAATGAAGCCAGAGATTGATATCAAAGAATCTTTTCTTCAGTTGCACCGATGATGTTTTAATAAAGATGATGCATGCCCATACTGCGCGGCGATTAAAAATTGTTCGACTTTACATTATATGACATATATGTGAATGAGAAAGATGATATAGATCGTATGATACGGAAAGAGATAGCAGTCTATAGAGTTGCGATCTAATTACACCAATTGTAATTTGAGTCCCTCAGTTTCGGTGCTCTAGTCTCATATGTAGGTACCTCGTATTTGTATATAATATCATTGTGTTACAAGAATGGGCTGACTGTTCCGAGGAAGTAGCATGGACTCACTGTGAAGAACTTCCTTAAGATGATATTTAAAATATATATTATTTATTTTATACATAAAACATTACCCCGACTTTAGGATAACATTATCCTGTATTGCAAGGATGTTTTACATACATAAATGTCACGTGGACAAACACCCAGATGCGAAACAACTATCTGCGGGTCACACAAATAGTTGTCCCGTGTGGGAATCGAACCTACGACCTTCGACGCCGAAGCCAATACCTAGGTAATTGCCCCACGGAGTCATCGATTAAATGTAGACTAAAAATTTAAATATTTTTCTTCTGCTTTCTCAATTTGCATTTTTATAATAGCACTATAAAAATAATATAATTTATAATGTTACGGCAAAGATGACTTCTCTAGTTTTAAAATATTAAATTGTAAAATTTCATAAATGAAAAAGTGGCCACTCGCCGTAAATAAAACACAATAGGTTTTTTTCTGTCTCTATGTGACAAACTAGCAAACGAGCTGGCAGTTCACCCGATGTTAAGTGATAAGCCGCCCATGGACATTGCAACACCCAGGTTTGCATAGGCGTTGCTACCATTTAATTAAGTGGGCCCCGGCTACACGACACAAAGCATTGCTTACATGCGATAAAAACAAAATACATAAATATGGTGCGGTGATAAACCGTTTAGCTCAGTGGCTAGAATATTGGGTGCGGTATAAGCGTATCCCAAAGGACGCATGTTCCCGAAAATTGATGGCGCATTATAAAGACGCTGAAGTATTTTTTTTTGTTGTGCTACTATATTATTCGTCACAGCGCTATGCATGAGCAATATGATTAACAATATAAGTCAAGGAGAATGTTATGAACTGAGTATATGCCTCGTCTGTAATAGATACCATCTGGTGCTTATTCCATCACAATGCTTCACAAAACGCTATGGAGAGACTTACCAACTAAACCAACCTGTCATAAGCCAATCCTTAATTTCTTACTAATATTATAAAGGCGACAGTTTGTATGTATGGATGGATGTTTGTTACTCTTTCACGCAAATACTACTGAATGGATTTTAATGAAACTACAATAATATAGGTTATACATCAGAAACATCATCACGCGTAACAGAAAAACATCTGTTTCATGTTACGCCTTCAGCCTATTCAACGCAGAGGTAGTCGCGGGCAGCAGCTATATAATACTTTACGAAGCCTATTAAAATATTATGCAATACTAATTTAATTTTTATTTTACTGTAATCTCATAATTTATAAAAGGACAATGTAATGCAGTGCCACAACAAAATAATGCAAATCCATCATGTTTTTTGGTTTATCTATGACTTTAGTTAGATAAACTATCAAGTAAATTTTTGACAGTTATTTCTTAAATTTTCAAGTGTTGTTATTAATGAATATTCTTTTACTTGATTAGTAGGCGGGCCATAATACCAACGGTGAGTTAGTTTCCCCATCTACAAAATGTACAGGAAATTTTTCTATAAAGTAGAATAAATTATACGCGCATTCTCCGAAAGTTAAACAAAAAGTAGGTACTGATCAACGGGACATTTCCAGGTCATAAGTAGCTTGTTGACAGTACCGGGATTCTAAAAAGTAAACTAAAGGCGAGGCCGATACCCTCTATGGTATCTTAAAACGAGTCAATAGTCTGCTGTTTATAAAAATTGATAATGATTTATATCTGGTAATATTCAATATTCTGTAACTCCCGAAGTCAATCCGAGATAATGTTTAAAGTATATACCGTTGCAGAATATCTTGACGACGCCAATGTGTGGAGTTAATAATACTGACGTAGGTTAAAACAAGAATAATAGTCCTTGCTTTATCCCAGAATTAATAAAGATCCGTCCTCCAATACCTTCTTGTATCTTGTATTAACTGATGTTTTTGCTTTCAGTGCCGAGTCTATTAAAGCTTCATCTGACGCAGAACCGGTAGGCTAGCCAGAACCCACGGGTTTGGGCCCTCCGCTGTGGGTAGGGCCGCGCATGTGCTCGTGCGTGCGTCTAACTATGGTATGTCGTTTAAGGGCCATCGAGGTTGCGGTTCGGACCGGGACCCCGATGGCCGTCGACTGTGTTTTTAGCTAATCGGTGGCTGGGGGCGGTGAGAACCGCCCTGGAACGCGGGTGTACCTTGTGTACGCGTTGTGTTGGTCTCGCCGTGCTCGGAGGCGAGGGCGAACTATTGTGTTTGTTGTTACTCTAGCTGTGGATGTAGTGTTATCCGGCGGTGGGTCCAGCGTATCTAAGTCCGCTTCCTCGACCGGGTCGATGAGGACGTTTCGCGGGCGACGCTTGTTGACGTTCGCGTTTGTGTCGGTTGGTAATTTGCTGTGCTTACCACCAGAGGATTGGGATGATGTTCGGCTGTATCGAAGAACCGTTTGGTCAGGTCTTTAAAATATTCGCGAATCGTCGGGAGGTCTATTATACCTATATTGAAAAAAAACTGAAACTGATCCTATTAAAAAAGAGGAACTGTTTTTTGCCGGTTTCAACAGAAACTGCCTTCCGGTGGTAACTTACTTAATAACTTTTTTACGGTGGTAGGGCCACGCAGCAGCCTCGGCTGTTGCACGAATGGGCAGGCCCGTCCGGGTAAGTACCACGACCTCACAGAAGACCGGCGTAAAGTGGAAGTATGACAAATACTTTCGCGTTTCGTCTGGTGAGTGAGGTAGCCGGAGCCCAATTTTCAAAAGGTTGTCAACGCATCTGTAACCCTCGGGTGTGGCAGATGTCCATGGGCGGCGGTATTCACTTAACATCAGGTGAACCGTCTGCTCGTTTGACAACTTTTCGCATTAAAAAAAAAAAACTTATGGATTTATTTTTTATATAAAATTTCGACGTTTCATAAGAACGCGCAAGCGTCTATTTGAATAAAGATATTTTGAATTTGAATATGAATTTATTCAGAGAAATTGCTCGAAGAGTTTTATCTTGAATACAATAAACAAGTTTTCAGATTTATAGCCTGTCAACCTGCTCTTCAACCCCACGTGCCAGCTATAGCAGTTCGATTTGGTCTTCATTATTTGGGTCTTTAACTTGCTCTTTTGTTGTTTTTTTAAAGACTTCAGCGCTAGTTTCAGCTGTAAGAAATCATTGCACATTGTTTATGTTCTAAGTTTGGGTGGAAGGGGGCGAAGACATAGCCGATGCTTCTGCAGGTGCTTGGGGCGGCTTTGATGGCGATCAGCTTAGCCCCTTGCGTGGTGCAGCGCGCCTGCCCAGCCCACGCAGCGCGGCCACCCTCCTCCGTCTGCATGCACCGCCTACCTGACATCAAGTATAGCCTCACCAACAGCTAACATCTGACAACTCCACAGATCAAGTAAAGCCTCTCCGACAGCTGACATCTGACATCATCCACACAAATCATTCGGCGTATTTTGTGTTTGAAGGAGATTTGTACTTTTACTTTTAGTTGTCTTGTACGTAATTTTTATTCCACCCGTAGCCGTAGATAGCAAATCGTATGCTCAGTAATATCATTCTTTTTTGTCAAGCGAGCAGACGATTCAGCTGATGTTAAGTGAATATTGCCGCCCCTGGACATCTAAAATACCCGAGGACAGGCAGATGCTTTGGCAACCTTTAAAAAAGTGGACCCCGGTTACCTCACTCACAAGACGAAACGCGCAAGTTAAATACTTCCTTCACACCGGTCTGGTACTTTTCCGGACGCGCCTGCCTATTCGTGCAACTGCAGAGGCAGTTGACGTGACCCTACCACAGTAATTTAGTTTACTTTTCGCCAAATCATGCTATACAAAAAATAAAAAATAGCGCCAACACTCTTCGCTGCCCAAACAGGGCTTTGGTATGATATTTCTCCATGAATTTAAATAGTAAATCGCAACAAGTTAACATTGGCTAACAACTTACGAACTTATATATTAATTTTTCGCGTCTATTTGAATAAAGACATTTTGAAATTGTTGGGTATGTACTAGTTGAACTGACAGAAGTTAATGGAAGTGTCTACTATTTACCAATGTCGAATTGCAACAATAAAGGATGTATGACCTAATGGCTGAGATGTTGTGTTTGTGACGTTCTCGAATAATCTAAGGCTGATTAATGGACGGTGCAGGGCAGCAGGGCTTATTACTTTTTCAGGGACCAAAAAAACGCTTGGAGCATTAACCTTGCTTGCATTGCATATAATTAAATTAAATTGCAAGACTGACGCAAACAAATGTTTCAGAGAAACTTCGAAATGTACAAAGCGCCGTTAGCACAGCTCATGGAAATGTTCGAATGTGGTTATTTAACGTGACGAGAAAACTGAAGATGTTTTTCAAAAGGTATATATGATCAAAATCTCTTTAATAAAGTTAATTGATGGTCTTTATCGCCGGAATACGGCCCGTGACCCTGAATCCTGTTAGTCATCGGGAGTTAAAAACTAACGCGAATGTAATATTCGCGTAATTCAGAGAAACTGTTATGATTCAAGTCTACTATATACTACCTGCTCTACTCACGATTTAATCGGCGTGAAATTTAAAATAAGGTTATTTATGTACATACATATTTTAGTAGTGAACACGATTGAAGTTTGTAAATTTTTGTTAACGCCACGCTTATGATATACACTACATACAATAAGCTAAAAGCAACTGTTTACATATAACTAGATATTTTATTTTTACATGTAACTATTTTTGTTCACTAGGGATGGGTCAGCCATAGTGAAAAGTTATAAAGATACGTCTGTTCCTGTAAAGGTTCCTCTGCCCTATTTCAATATCGTTCGAAAGGATTGTTAAGAAACGAAGCCGGTCACACGGATGCGGGTGAAGAGAGGGGGGGGGGGGGGGGGGGATGTTGCTGAATACTTATCCGCTAGATGTTTATTAAACAAGATACCAACAGTAATGTTATAATTCATCAACTTTGCTATTCCCGTACTAAGATATTTCACGATCGTAATAATACTTCGATGAAAAGCATTTCAATATAACATTATTCGAGATTCTAGGTAACCTAGTGATTGATTCACAGTGATTTCAATCACATTTATCTGTCGTTCTTAGAGATAATTTTTGATTTTACAAGATTTATTACTGTTTTATATTTAATACATCACAACAAACAGAAGTTTAAAACTTCTACTTCGCGCCGTTCTTATGTGATGTCGTTGCCCACGACCTGCCCATTCGTGCAACAGCGAAGACTGTTGCGTGGCCCTGCAACAGTTATAAAACATTTATAAGACAATATTTGCCGAGGCCGTATTAAATACAATGGGGTAAATATTTGTCATGGCTTTGGCCCCCTGTGACGATTGTACCTACATTTGACACCCAACGACAGTTTGCGAGGTGAGGTCTTTAGCATACACCATCCTTGCGTTAATTGAGGTAACAATAAATGCACACGTGACATGCAGCTTCATGGTACGGGGCAGCGACGACTGACTATAAAACGCGGTCTGTTGTGGTCCGCGCGTCTTTGTGTGTTGACTGGCACGGCGTGGTACTCCACAGCCCATACACGCCATACAACATGGCTTGGAGACTCGCCTCATCTGCAGCGCTTGTAACCCTCGTCGTGCTGCTGCGTACATACGAGGTACTCGATTCACTTTCCCTGGTTCTTAATTAGTTTCTCAACTCCCGGGGTCCGTTTTATCCGAATCTACGCATACTAATGTCCTTATTATTCCGATCGGTTTATTCCTGATATGTCTATTAGCTCAGTGTTAGCCTAATGTCATCGGACTTTTGGTCTTAGGTCTGGGGTGAAATATTCCAGAGGCGTCAACCAATTAAATTATCAGATATTTTGCATTCAAAAGTGATCGTCTCACATTTGTGGCGTGCAACGACTACAGGCGCGCCACGTTTAAGTGAACTCTGTAACACTTGGAAAACATGGCTGTGTGTGTCTAACACTGTGCGTTTTAAAGGTTCCGGATCTGTGTTTCTATTCCCAATAAGGTTGATGTCAGCACCATTTTAAAACTTAGCCAATATCATTACCAATATGGTTCGTATATTTTGCCGACCTCACCTAGGTGGTAGAAGAGCAGAGGAAAACTGCATTGAATTTAAAGTTGTTGTTTAGCCTTTATTATTATATTGACAATATATTCATCTTTTTTTGAAAGATCTGCGGTGACTAGTAAATAATATTTCTTCAAGACGAGATGTTTCATGAATCTATTAACGTGCTTTTGTAGTAAACAGCAACGGCCCTTTTATTGCCGAGGATATTTTTAAATTTTTGTGTTTTCTACGCCCACAGGCTACAGCGGGATGCAAGAACTGTATCGTAAGTTTTTATCTGTCTTTCAAATTTGTATTAAATTTGTTTAAAATTTTACAATTTACCTCTTTCATTATTTTTATAACAAAATATTTATGTGCCTGAGAATAATGTGTCTTTACTCGCCTTTGCATCAGTAATGTGTTGGAAATTCTAAGCCCGACAAGATAACATTAGATGTTACTTCCTCTACCCACTAAGGCTAAGAATACGAGCACATATTGCGTGAATTTCAGATGTGAATAGTTCTATCACTTCTTTTTTTTATTTTTGGAGGAGGTGGCAAACGAGCAAGCGGCTCATCTGAAGGTGAGTGACTAAGAACTTCGCCCACAGGCTTTCTCAACACCAAAGGGATTGCGAAAGTCTGTTTTTTTTGCTCAAAGCTTCGCCTGCTGTTTTTATAAGATAATACTATTTCTAAATACACCTGGTTATATCTGACTCCGTAAAAGGATCCGGGCAGTCATCAGGGATTGTCTACCTTTTTAATATTAAAGAGGATGGTGTTATGAAGACAAACAAGCAGTTTTTTTAACAAGGACTGATGTTATGTGATAACCGCCTTCTACGGGTATCCATTAGACATTCTTTGAGTAGACTTACGTTTCCAACTTTTAGGAAATGTTGTCACTTACTATAGTGAGTTTTATTGTTTTTAGTTTGATTGATCCAACGACGGAAGGTGCTACGGAGCTCTACATACTAAGAAACGACTCAAAATCCCCATTACTGGCACTCTTAATATATGCAGTAAAACATTGATGACCAAAATGTGTGGCAATTACTGCTCTTGATTTTATGCACCTGCAGAATTTAACTACAAATGATTGACAAAATCCGAAAGCATGGGAAATAGTATAGGGTCCTTATTCAAAACAACAGTCATTCAAATATATAAAGAAAAACATAGATACGTAGATTTGATTGTTATAAAAGAAGATAATAAAGAAACAATCGATTCAAATGAATCCAATGGAAAGTGGCCTCCGGTGCTCATGTAGTGGGTCTGCAGTTGCCTCGAATATCGAAAGAATCGCAAGAGCATAAGTACTTCTACTAGAGGGGTACTTCCCTAGTCGAGCCGGCATTCTATTCCGCAGTTAACGTTGGTCTGTCCAGGCGCTGGATAAGGAGGGTCGGTCCCTTCTGCGCGCACACTGGGCAGCCTGCGGTGGTGACGGGGAGAGACGTCAGGCGTACTGCGCGCTAAGACGCTGCAAACTGCTCGCCAAGGATGGGAAACTGCGGAAGGCAGCCCTGGCGCACGCGCCAACGCGCCTAGCACAGGTTCTTCAATCTTCTTCCTCTTTCCCCTGCCCTTATCCAACACTGGGTGGGGTCAGCACAACATGTCCTTTCCTTCCACTTTCCTCTATCAGCCGTCATCTCAATACTGGCCCATTTCACAGACATATCATTCTTCACACAGTCCATCCAAATCCTTCCCGGAACTACATTCATATTCATCACTCTTCTAATAACACGACTTTCATCACTTCTGTGTAATAAAATAATGTGCCCATACCATGTCCTTATTTCCTCAGTCACTGGTGCCACTTTCAAGCTTCGCATTATATACTCATTTCTTATCTTATCCTTTCTGGACACACCACGCATCCATATTAACATTCGCATCTCTACTACATGCATTTCTCTTTCATTCGTCTCTTTTGCTGACCAACATTCAGATCCATACACCATGACCGGTCTCACCACCGTCTTGTAAATCGTGCCTTTGAGTTTTAGGGGCATTCGCGAGTCACTTGTACCTCCTGAGACCTGTCGCCATTTCACGCAGCTTGCATTTATCCTATTTATGATATTTCGGTCAATTCCGCCATCGTTTTCTACAGGTGCTTCAATAACCTACGTATAAGGTCTCGATTGCCTATTAAATGAAACTGTTTTAGAGATTTCGTCTTGTTTTCATTTTGTTTTTTAACTCCCAACGTTTCGTATTTTCTGTCAAAAATTGTTTCATTTAATACGTACAATATTGCGTAAAATCAAGAAATCGATAAGGAGTTTTCGTTTGTTTTGCTTTTCAAGCTAGTCCATACGGTCCGCGACATCACTGATTGTGGAGATGTAGTCAGCGCCATGTCAGTATAATGCTAAGGATTTTTTTTTGTATCTTTTATATAGGTAGAAGTACAACCGACAGAATATTTATAAAACAACTATCTGACCCGGCAAACGTTGTCTTTGCCATATAAATTATTTGTAGGGTAGAAAAAAATGTTTGGGGTGGACCACCCTTAACATTTAGGGGGATGAAAAATAGATGTTGTCGATTCTCTACCCTGGCCGATATGCACACAAAATTTCACGAATACCTGTCGAGCCGTTTCGGAGGAATTCAATTACAAATGCCGTGACACGATATATTTTATATATTAGATAAAATCGAGAGAGAGAAGGAGATCAAAGTCCTACGTTTGCTTTTAAGTCAATTTTTCTGAGATACGTGAAGTTCAGTAACCCATATTTGACCCTTGTGTCGGACTATGTCCTATAAACCTTTGTTCTAAGTAGGCCTTTGAGTAAATGAACCCTAAAACACTTTGTACGTGAGAACTTTTGTATGTTGTGTTGTAAACTTAGCACGATATCGAAATTCTTGCCATATAGGAAATAGCTCGTAAATATGTAGCAGTGACATAAGGCACGTTTTGCATAAAATTACTGCTGTTTTCCGCTGCTTTTTATTTATAACGTCTAGATAAAAAAAAATTACAAATATAATGCGATCACATTTGTACCACCCACATCACTACTTACCACCATGTGGGATGGGAGTCAAACAATAGCTAGTACGTGATAAAAAAAGATAAAAAATGAGATTGACCAATTTCTTAATGTTTTTTACACACTTTGTGTGTGCGTGGATTAACCAAAACGGTCACAAGTTAATAACCGTTGGAAATAATATACATGTGAAATTTTGTGTGTAAGTGTTTGCCCCCTCTTCGCTTTTGGTCCCGTAAAACTATATTAAAATAAAAATAAAACAAATGGGCGAAGGTGCTAGTAGAGAGAAGCTAATGTGCTTATATTTGTGTGAACCGTGGCAGGTGCTGGAGAGGTGTTCAAACCAGACAGGGGAGAGTCCGGAGGACGTGGCGTGGAACATCTTCCGCTGCGCCTTCGACCCCAAATCCCTGATGCTGGATCTGCCGCCACCAGACACGGAAGCTGGTGTCGCTTAGGCGCCTCCTTTATACAAATCACTTTGTATTACATTTTATCTTCATCTTTAGACTACTAATATAGATTTTGCAATAAAATATGTGTCTCGTTTATTTAAGGATGAGTGTTGTTTCATTTCTTTTGGATACTTTGATTTATGTATTGCATAATGCCAATATCAGTTTATACCGTTATTATGTCCATAATAATTAATATGTTTAATGTTTTAGAGACTTAATAAGTTATCCGTATTTGGTATTTCTTACAATTCAAAGTCAAAATCGTCATTAGTCACATGCCCTTCGAGAAAGAATAAGTTCCGGCGGGTCATCCTGTGCGATCCTTTACCATGAAATTTTAGCTGGCACATTTTAATAGTAACAAGGTTGTATAATGTTTCATTCGTTAAAGTAGCTTTTTAAATTATGGCGCTTATATAATAGAAGTTTTCGGCGCTTTTCATTGGTCGGATTGAAAACAGTTAGTTGATTTCAATGAGCGACGGTAATGCGACTGGAAATCATTAAAATGTCGGATAGCGGTTGAGTGATTCGTCATAGCTTTGTGTCGTTAGTGGAAGTAAAGTCATCACCATGTGGAAGAGTGTCATTACCTTCTAATGATTAAATTTGATATGAAATAATTTATTATTTTTTTTTATTGGAAATAAATTTGTATAGAAATGTATGTTGACAAAATGATGAGTTAAAATGACACCGTTCGGTGATTTCGAAAGTGAAATTCGTAGTTTAACATTTTTTGATATGGCTATTACTAAACTGATATTTTAAATGAGTATCTTAGTGAAGATAATTAATAGTATATAGCTGTATATAGTAGTTGTGAATATTTGGCAGTTTATAATTTATTCTAAATTAAAGATGTCAACATATCCACATAATGACTTTAATATCTTACCCTACAATAGCTATAATATGGTTATAAAGTACATTCTATTAGCAGTTTAAGGAACCTCATTGGCATGCAAAGGCTGTATTGCACTTCGTAACGCGTAAAGTGTAAATTATGTTCCAAACACCTTTATGATCTCATTGCAGGCAGTAGGCGGTGACCCACAGCCGGAGTCTGCGACGCGGCAGTAACCAGCTATGCCTTTGCCTTGCGCGGACGGCGGACATTTTGTATTTTGAATTGCGCGCCATAATTTGACGTTTGTGTACAGTATTTTCAAGGTGTTGTGATTTTAAATACAACTTACCGCTTTTCACTAGTTCCAATTAACCGTGAAAAATGTGTTGAGTGCATTATCTTAGTTTCAGTTTTCTCCTGTGTTTGTGATTGTTCGCTATTGGTTAATTAATGGATAAAATAGGAGAAGGAAAAGGACACCTGTAAAGCGTAAGGACAACAATAAGCATTTAGCTAATAAGAGAGATCTTTCTGTTGCTTATTAAAATAAGGTAACTGGGGCCTTAGATTTGCGACGTTGCTACAACCGTGTGAAGTGAAGCTCTATGGGTGGCGGTGATCATTTAATATTTGATCACTCGCCATATTGTTCCATAAAAAAATATGAAAATTACGATTCGTTGATCATCCTTATGAACAATGAGTAAAACATATTGCCACCGAGTTTGTTAGCGGCTGCAAATTATGTCACAATCTACAGATCTACATATGGCGGTTATGAGCAGCTCTTCATGCATAGTAGTGATCACTTCTGTTCGTCTAATAAATTCGCCAAAACGATAAATCCGCTGGTGCACTGAGATTTGAACCCGCGAGTCGACCACAACAAGGCCATCGCTGCCTTATATGTATATTAGTAAACTTAATAAAACAGAGAAGCTAAACAGTTTTTTATATGAATTATCATAGGTGAGTCATTTGCGTACGTATTAATAAGAATATATCATAAATATCGTTTGATTTGTCGTCTTGCGGTCGCTCGGTGCATAAGACACGCGTCCCGGTGAGCGGCACTATGCTAATTAGAAATTAATCGATGCGATTTGTATGGGCGCGCTAGTGCAGTCCAAGGTGCCAACAAAATCTAATAATAAAAGCTACGAAATAACTCCCCTTGTATCCCTAAAGAAGCAAGGCGTTTTTTGTTACAGTAATATTATAATTATATTTAACGCTATCTTAAACAAAAACATTTCTGTATTTACAAAGGTAGCGTTGCTGCGTAAAGAACTCAAAGGCTTACCTTAGTTGACTGTATAATACTTAACTTATTTTGATGTCTATGGCTAGCCGTAGTCACTTAAGGATCTCAGCTCAGCACCTTGCCTCATAAAAAAAATAAGTACTCTATGTTGATCATCCTTAAGCACTAAGATTGCATACACATTTTTTAATAAGTATCATACTGGTCGTATTTTACCTAAGTCTCATTATGCTGAGCTTTTTTGAACTTTTAAATGTTCCTGCGCAACTGCGGTCACACTTTAAGAAATGGTTCAGACCATAGAAAAATATGTGGGCAAAAATGCGGAGGATTAAATATGGAGTCACAAAAACGTAACAGATTATCATAATGGCTAATTAAACATTACTCGAGGGCAGGCCTACGCGGTGCTCGCATCGCGTCAACCCGAGTTGGCGTGGAGGGCGCGTGGGTGCAGCACCACATACACCCGAACTAAAATCACACCCGGCCCGGTCTTAATTAGGTGACAATTTGTTGACACGAACGCGTATAAGTAACTCGCCTATTTGGATGCTACTTTTTCAAGAGTCGATTTAACGAACACGATTTATTAAAGAAATTTATTGTTACCCATGTCCATAGGATAGTTAATGCTTAGATTATTATTAAATGGTTAAAAATAAATGAAATAAAGCAAAAATAAAAGGAGATAGACAAACTATGTCGATTGTCGAACTTTTTTTATGTCGGAGGATAGCAAGTAAGCTGGCGGTTCACCTGAAATTAAATGATAACCGCCTACCCATGGACATTTGCAACACTGCATTTGTTGCAGATGCATTGCCACCTTTTAATAAAGTTGGCCCCGGCTAATTCACTCGCCAGACGAAACGCAGAACGTTTAATACACTTCGACTTCGGTCTTCTATTAGGTCGTGGTACTTCCCCGGACGGACCTGCCCATTCGTGCAACAGCGAACGGTTGCGTGGCCCTTCCATAGTGAAATTAATGATAACCTACGAAGCAAATTGTGATCGAATAACACCTATAACCCCTAGCTTTGTTCTCGCTTAACTAGATATCACGTAGTACCTACCTGCTGGCTAAGAAAAGTTTAATATTTTAGTGAGATTTTTTTAATTTCTCTGTAAATTAGGTTGTTAATCTAGAAGCTATGAACAGCACTAGAAATATTTGTTCTATTCATCTTTATAGATAAATAAAATTGGAGTGTCTGTTTGTAATATTAAAATAATCGCTATTTACTAAATACATATAGATGTATACACAGTACATATACCAAAATAACATTATTTACAATTTTTGTCTGTCTGTCTGTCTGTCTCTTTGTTCTGGCTAATCTCTGAAACGGCTGGACCGATTTTGACGAGACATTCACTGGCAGATAGCTGGTGTAATAAGCAGTAACTTAGGCTAATTTTATTGCAGAAATTTTATTTATTCTAAATTCCACGCGGACGAAATCGCGGGCACAGCTAGTATATAATAATAATATTCGCCGGTGCTTCTGCAGCGCTCACCACGTTTTTCCTGTTCCCGCCGTTATTGGAAGATGAAATTCTCATTCGTGGACGCCTAATGTTGCGCCATGAATCACATCGATGAGAAACGTCTATTTTACGGTTAAATTAGCGCAACACGTGTTTTATTGTTGTTAAGTAATTCCTTAAAACTTTAAGGTATACTTATATTTGTATGTACAGCAATAACAATTTCAGAGATCAATTGGGACAATTACATGGGTGCACGTTTTCATAATGTGCTTAGCAAATGTAAAAACGTATAATATGACGACAGCCAACGTTGGCTTAATTGCAGCATTGATTTCCTTTCAGAGGACACGTGAGATGTTAATTTAGAACTTGATTAAGTCTTAGTTTTTCAACACAAAATAAAAATCTGTGCGATAAAGGTTCGCTCATCGTAGATTAGTGCCTAGTTTAGGTCATCCAATAATCTTGCCTTAACTTAGATAGCATCACTTTTCTCCGTCTCGTTAGTGCCAAAACTTTTCTTCTTTTTTATTAAGATTATTTCTATCATTGAAAATAAGTGCAACGGCCTCTCCACGCCATGACAAAAACATAGCCTTAGTCACGGCTTGTGGGAGTCCCGCGCGAACATTGTTACAAACATAGCCTCTAATAAACGCACATTGCGATCATGATTATGTATTAGATCATTTTAATAGCCTCCGGCCACAATTTATTGAATAGCGCTTGCTAATTAATGTTGTTATAAATCAACCATTAGGCCGGGACTCGTGAAATTTGCATAAAATCGACTCTTATTTTGTTTAACCATTACTGTCTTAAAGTTAAAGTTAATTGCCCCGGTCGAGGAAGGGGACTTAGATACGTCGGACTACAGTTGGTATCCTGCCGGATAACACTACACCTACAGCTAGTGTAACAACAAACACAATAGACCAACACAACGCGTACACAAGGTACACCCGCGTTCCAGGGCGGTTCTCACCGCCCCCAGCCACCGATTAGCTAAAAACACAGTCGACGGCCATCGGGGTCCCGGTCCGAACCGCAACCTCGATGGTCCTTAGACGACATACCATAGTTAAGCCAAGGGCGGATCCAGCTTTGGTGCCAGGGGGGGGGGGGTCACATAGTCTTGGTCAAGTGATAAGAAGTTATAATTTAATTTTATAATCATAGATACAAGTAAAAAGTAGGTATTTTTAACCAACTTCAAAAAGAAGGAGATTATCAATTCCGATGTTTATATTTCAGATGTTTGGCATAGCTTCGTCATATATAGACGGATTTGCAAAATTCTTTTTTTGTTTGAAAGGGTTTCATTTCGTAATGGTCCCATATAAATTTCATATAGATTAGATGATGATTTTCGGAGATAGCAACGGA